ATAGAAGACAGGCTTTCAATAAAACATATTTTGAGTTGTATTTCACAATTTGTTGGGAACGAGAAATCAATTAAAAATAAAACAACTTTTGGCTCAACTTCTCAATGTTTGCAAAAATATTGTTTTCACAAAATGTTTTGTCAATTAAATGTATAAATGTTTTGCTGTGAACTCAAAATATGAATGCATTCATAGTTTTACAGAATTAATGCATTGATTGACAAAATGATAACAAAATGTGACAAAACTTGGATTAAATGAACGATAGATTGATGACATGACATGAGATTATAAGTTACACTCAATTAAGTTACCATTTGATAGGAATTACTGGGAATTTATGAAAGATTTTTATAACAAAATTATAGGAAACTCATCAATAACTACATTCCTCTAATAAAAAAGCAAACCAAACAAATGTTTTTACAATTATACATTTGTTAGTTTAATTCAATTTATAAAGAAATTGCTATTGTACTGCAAATGTGGTCAAATGTGCTAGTATACAGAATTTTTAAAACTTTCGTGGTATTGTGTGCCTAACTTATAATTAGTTCACATACAACCCTGTGATGATCAAAGATATTGTTCACTAATTCACTCACACCTACAGTATATAATAACTTAATTGACTTTTGATGTAAACAATTAGCAAACACTTATGAAATGAATGCAAAACTTGATACCAGCCCTCGATTCTTGTAAATTCTTGATATTCAACTCAAACACCCATTGAATACAATTATGCCAACAATACACTAGTGTTTGCATTGACTGAATGCCATATCTGTTTGACTGAATGTTTGTGGACTCGTAGTCGTCGTACTGTTTGTATGCATTGTGTGATCACGTGTTGACCGGTTTGCCAATTGGCGGTCAATAACAGACACATTGAATGCTATTTACGGCTAAATCACGACATATTCACTCATGTGATGGCAATCGCAACACATCTCGTCTTTGTATGTCTTATTGTGTCCACAATTGGTGTAAAACTCAATGAAAGGCGAATCCTATTGCCATTCAATAACGGAGTCAACACTAACTTCACGTTAGAGGCCACTAATGATAACTGTTATCAATGGTTAGTATCACTTGAAGCACTTCCAACACTTGTCACACTCTTAATTGACTCCCATTTGTCTGATCCGTATATTCAGGTCATCTTCACGTCTGGATGTGGCGAGTGTTGAGACATTGGATGAGACGAAGAGCTGCTCACGAAAAGCAGTCGTTTCTGTTGTGTCAACGGTTGCCAAACGTCAGTCATCTGTAGTGACGGCCACTGATAATGGTATGAATGATGCGATTAAGGTGTCAACGAATTACTGACAGTTATTGTCCAACAAATAGCTTCGGGTTCTGTTATTCGGTGTGATGTGGAGATCGATGTCATCGATTCCATCGAAATCGTCACCACTTCTCATGAGATTGTTTTGGAAGACTTACCGGAAATACTGGAAGTGAAGGCTAAGAATGATAAGAGTATTACACATGAGTTATCACTTTATTTGTTTGTATCACTAATTGTTTGGTGTCTTTGTCTTCAGATGACACGTTCACATCAGTCGCTGGCATTCAGTTTGAGTGGACTCTGAGTCCCGTTGATATACTCAGGTATGCCATCGATGTCTAGCTTTAAAGTTGATGTAGACTTCGGGTTAACTATTTATAAATGGCTGCACAGATACAGGACGTGGTCCTCCTCTTCATATACCGGCCCACCTTTCGTCCACTTTTGGGAATCACGTGAACTGAAAGGGTCGGCCATTCTTATAGAAGGCATTCGCACGGGTTCTGCGAAAGTGACGGCCCGTATAGTCGGTGATGACTACAAGAAGGTAAAGACGGCTGAAATCACGCTTCATGTGGTGGCAAATCTGGGACTCATTCCTCCTAATGTCGTATATTTGATGAGAGGATCAAAGATTGAGTTCAAGGCAGAGATGGCTAAACAGGGCCCTCGAGTGGCACTCACTCTCCCTTCACCCCAATATTACCTCAAAGTGTTGGACCCAAAGATCGCACAGTTAGACGAACAGAGCAGTCAAGTAGAGGCCGTCAAAGAAGGACATACATCGCTGTTATTGCTGGACAGGAATGTGGCCACAAGTGAGAGCTCACGACAGCCCACGACTGACATCCATGTCATGCCTCCCAGTTATGTCTCCATTCACGTGACGCCGGGAGAGAACTTTGCGTTGTGTGAGTTCACCAGTTATGTCATCACATTCACCATACATGACGACTGGCACCACCGACTCTATCCGGCCGCCAATCTTCTCCTCAAAGTCACCTTTCCGTCCCGTTATTTCCATATCAACGAGTCCTCCACTAATGGCACCTTTCATGTCATCCGGACCATCAATTCAGGCAATTGCAAGGTTTGACTCTTTCATTACATTTTTACTTATCTTTAACTAAATCTAGATCTTTAACTATCTTTAACTAATTTCCTTTAGATAACGGCCCAACTGTTAGGCGCAGGAACTGCTAAACTACCGGTTCCTTTGGAAGTGTCACAAGAAGTTACAATATATCGAACACTTCTCTTAACTCCAAATCTGATTCTATTGCCATGGATTCCATCTGTGAAGCCTTCATACACGGTATACGTGACGGCCAGTGGGGCCACCGGTCAATACCGATGGGTTACGAACAACAGTTTGGTTGCGACCGTTAAATACAAACAGGATTTGTCTTCTCGTGTCACTGTTGTGACCAAAACAGAAGGAGAGGCTCTCATCAGTTGCCAAGACGTCCACAACTCTGTCTTCTCGGCTAATATGAGAGTGTCGGTGCAGCCATTAGTGGACATCGAAATACTTCCCGTTATTTTGGAGACACACATCGGCGGGACTGTTGTTCTCCCGATCGCTGTTTATGGCTATGAATCGGAATCGACTAAAACTAAACGTGTTTTTGACGACTGCTCGCAAATACCATTTGAAGTGGAAATTATTGAGAAGGTATGCAAATACCGGTATAATATACGGCAAATATAATTTCAAATATTGACCCCATTTTAAAAAATATACTGTACTGTAGACTCGCGTCCGATACGACCCCAACAATGTAGTGGCGGGCGTTGGGAAGCGGTCGTGTAGGAGTCTGGCCTTTGAGTGCATTTCTACTGGAAATACTAGAGTTTGGATTAGATATGGAAAGGAACAGTTGAGCACAACTGCTATAATTGGGTGTCATTTGCCTCTCAAAGCTGTTCATCCCGAAGAGATTGCGATCATGTCTTTGGGCGCCAGTATTGATGTGGCGTTTGAAGGCGGGCCCCGTCCCTGGACTCTCCACCCGGAGGGACATTACTCTAGATGTAAGTGCCGTATATTTTATGGATTAGTATCTGAAGGTAACCCCATTATGAATCCGTTTCAGTGACATCTTCCGAGTCATCGATTGTGTCATCGCATGAGATCGTCGATCGGTATCGTTATAACAAAGATCTGCACGTATTTCGTGTCAAATGTCTCCAATACGGGGAGACATTGCTTGAGTTAGATGTCGGCAATTTGGCGTCGCCTACACTCCCCAATCCGGCCAATGCTAGGGCTGACATCAAAATTCTGTGCAGTCGTCCCGCGTCTCTCATCATTAAACCCAAACTGAAGTCTTCGTGTCCTTTGTCTGCACCGCAAGACTCGGTATTTCCGGTCGAAAAGAATCAAAACACGGAAATAGAAGTGGATGTACGCGACGACTCCGG